AGCCAGGGACACATCCCCAAAACTGGGCAGAGTACTGCAGACAGAAGGATTTCTTTGGTAACAAAGAAAAGAATACTGAGCTGTTACGTGACATCTGTCCTTCTTTACGGCAGCGAATGTTGGACGATTTCCTCAAAGATGAAGAAGAGACTCGAGGCGACAGAGATGCTAAGGATATCATGGACTGAGCGTATAAACAACGATGAGGTTTTCAAACAAGAAGGAGACTTATACTTAACATCAGGATGAGACAGCTCAAGTTTCTGGGACACATAATGAGAAAGGAGGGTTTGGAGAATCTGATACTCATTTGTCGAATAGAGGGAAAGCGAGACAAGGGAAAACGACGCGTATCTAAGACGATCATTTCAAGTCTCCTAAGCTGTCAGATAATATTCGAGGTTTGCAATTACAGATTAAAATTAATGCTATGAATTCAAAACGAGGCTCATCATCAATTGAACTTGATACTAAACTGAACAGATCATTAATGATACATTAACAGCAACAGATAGTCTGGCATTATGAATCATGTATCAGAGAAAGCTATGCAAGAAACATGCTAAAAAATATGATTATTGTACACAGACTAGTACACCATATTAAGATCTAAATGATTAAGATTTCTTTTTTAAAGTTCAGATGTTGCTTATCATTCTGTTTGATTAATCTTGTTCCAAAACGAATTTCTAATAATAAGGATCTGTCAGCATATATATTTTCATTGTTAAAAATATACGATTTGTCAGAATATTTTAAATTTCTGGACTTATAGTTGTAAGTTCAATAAAGTAATTAAATTACGATCCTCCTAAGGGTTATAAAAAGATTATTTTTCAGTAGTAACCCGGAATCTATTCAGAGTCAACTCACAAATCATACCTGAAAAGACCAAGCCACGATTCAAAAATGCCAGCTTGTTTACTTCACTTAGCGTTTTATAATAGTTTGGTTGTCAGTGAAACACTAAGCAAAGCACTAACATCACCAACCACAAATAATCTTTTTAAAGCACATGCCACGCCGGTGGTAAAATGAAAAATAACCTGCTAACGATCACAGCAGTAGCGGGGATTAAATTGTTAGTTAAAATATAATCTCTCAGTGAACGTTTTATCAACTTTTCCGATTACTTGTCATTTCCAAAAAACTCTAAAAACATGTTTCCATCAAAAAAGACACATTAAAAATATGAAGATTTTATTTGTGGTCATTGTGTCGCTGCGTAGCTGAACGCGTTACCAACTGTTCCCATGTGTCTTGGTTGCGTATCAATATCTCAGTCTTTCTGAAGGATCTACCAATTAGGATCTACCAATCCATTTACATGCCTCTCATTTTGCTTAATGTGGAACCTTGCAGAATGGCAGTGGAAGGGTTGTGTTCCATATCATTTCTTCTTGACGGTGGATAAAGCGATCACATTTCCTTATATTTCACAAAACAATACGCTTACGACCACATCATGTAGAAACCCCGGTGCCCGTGTGAATTTAAGCAATGTCGAGCCTGGGAAGTACCTAAATGGGTGACCGCTTTGGAGTAGCAGTTACTGTAATCTTGGATGTGCGGTTGGTGTAATAGATAATAGCTCGGAATTTTTAAATGGAGAGCCGAGTTCCACTTCTCGTTGGGTTCGTTATATTCACTTGTGCACAAATACCCTTGGGAAACATATGAATCCACCTCTTCTCCCCTCAGCAATGGGTTAATGAATATAAATTGTATTACTAAACCATTATTTTCTAGTTTAAATAACCTACAAAAAAAAGTTTGATAAGCCGTAGAAAACGAATAATCGAATCAAACGAAACAAGTCAATCAAATAATCAAATTGCTTCTATGACATAAAACTGATACATATTAACTTTTTTTCACATATTTCGCATTTATGTTTATTTTCACATATTTTCCATTTAAGCTGTTCACATATTTCACATTTTATTTTGTTTTTTATAAAGTTTTATCACATATTTCACATTTATTTTTTTTTCGCATATTTTCCATTTAAGTTCTTCGTATATAGCATATCTTTAATATTTCGCCACATATTTAACATTTAAGTTTTATCGCATATTTCGCCTTTTTTCACATATTTCACATTTACGTTCTTCATATACTTCACATTTTATTTTTTTATTATTTCGCATTTAAATTTTATCACATATTTCACATTTTATTTTTTCACATATTTTACATTTACGTTTTTTTCACATGTTTCACATTTAAGTTTAAATTTTTGTTAATTGCTCGCAGCCTTTATGGTACATTCGGAATCTTCTCAAAATTTATAACAATTAGTTTGGCTATTATTATTAAGCTTTCAAAGAAAACTATAAAGTTTCCTTTGGAAGCTTAATAACTTTATTTCGTAAACGTAATATGATAGAGATTAGTCAATTTGATGAGTTATTATACACATTATTATTAGAATCTGCATACTCAACTTGGTTGTCATAACAATTTCGGCTACTGTTTCCTCAAATGTTTCTCTCATACTTGGTAACTATCTCAGAATTTTGAACTTAATCATTTATTCAGTTCTATTTTCCATGCTTAAGTGATATATTTATCATTTTATACTTACCAGTACTATTCATCTTTGAGCAGATTCCTTGTTTCTTCCACTGAACCAGAGTATGTGACGTTTTAGTATTACTGGGCTCAGGATTGAATTCACAACACTCAGGACACCAGCTGTTCAAGATGTTTTAACGAACACTTTACTCTATGTATCTCTTGGACAATTCAGTGGGTGTAATTTGTATGAGTGCCCTGATTCTGGTGGTGGAATGTTATATATCTACGCGAGATCTACTGAAAAGATTTTCAGTACCTAATATACGCTCTGTCCTTTCAAATGTCAAATCCTCTTTTGTTGTGCTGTGTTTTGTCTTAACTTCATTCTACAATGATTGATAACTACACTTTTCTCTTCCTACTATTATTTGTATTGCCCAATCGATGCTTTCTCACCATGGAAACAACGAAGTGTGCATGATTCTTTACCTATAACAGAAACTTATATGCTAGTGAGTTCATTATACATTGATTATATACAGTGTGCGACGTTTAATTTGTCGCCATTTATATTTTTAATTTCGTGCATGCGTTTTCTTTGTCTTTGATTTTGTCGACTGCACGGTATAATAGGGTCAGTTGGGTACGGTCTGTAAGAAAAAGAGCACCCTGACACAATCCATTCTGCCAGAAATTTGGAAATGGCATGCTGTACTGCTTGGCATTCACACCGAAACCTCCAGTATCAAACAGAGTGTCAATCTGAGGACAGTGCAGTTGATGCGGAAAAAGTTGGATGAGCGTAATGGTGATTACGAAGGTACAGCTGACCGTCCTAATAAGAAAATAACAACCGCATTTGTTGGTGAGGGCCTCTGACACAACACGGAGGTCTACATTAAATACCTTGAGGAGGTAGTGCTGCCCTGGATCAAGAGAGTTGGTGCTGGAATACCATATGTCTGGCAACAGGACTCTGCACCATGCCACACAAGCAGCAGAACTTGGTTATGTCTGTCAGACATCACCCCCTTACATTTAAACAACTAACTCCCTAGACTACAACCCCCCGATTATTATGTGTGGGGCGCAGTTAAGCGAGAGAGCAACAAAACTCATTGAAACACCAAAGATGAAGTGGAGGCAAACATTATGGAAGCAGTCACCAACTAAAACAAGTAGACTGTGCAGAAGAGTTTCAGGAAATTGCAAAGTCGCCTGGAGTCCGTGGTTGAAAACACTGGAGATTTTATTGAATAAATGTGCCATTTAGTATTTCAAGATATTTTTGTGTAATGTCAGTAAATATCTATTAAAATGAGATGTCGGTGCTATTTTCATTTTTGCATAATTTTGACAACAATTTATCCATCGCACCCTGTATATATATATATATATATATATATATATATATATGTGTGTGTGTGTGTGTGTGTGTGTGTGTGTGTGTGTGTGCGGGCGTTGATTGTTGCTTTATTAATACAAATCCTTTTCTTTCGCAAATCTTTCAATAAAGCGCTATTCAACGTTGCTTGATCGGTGATGCCAACCGTAGGTGAGTCGGTATAAACACCCCTTCTCCAACGACAGATTTTACACATAATCTGTCTAAGAATGAGATTTTGTGCTGACGATTTTCGATCGTTCGTTAATAATTAAAGGCAAATGTGAACATTTAGAAACCAGTTCTTATAGACACAGAAATATGATGCAGTTAAGAAACAATCTGATGGTTACGAATTTGAATTAGAAAATATTAAAATTGTCTCGAATTTAAAGAAAGGGAATTAAATTATGAATGTCATGAAGTGATATAAGTTTAGTCTTCTTGAATGAAAGAGCATGTTATTATTCTCATTATTATTATTATTATTATTATTATTATTATTATTATTATTCTCATTATTATTATTATTTTTATTCTCATTATTATTCTCATTATTATTATTATTATTCTCATTATTATTATTATTATTCTCATTATTATTATTATTTTTATTCTCATTATTATTCTCATTATTATTATTATTATTCTCATTATTATTATTATTATTATTATTATTATTATTATTTCCTTTGGTTTCTGTTGTATAATCATTTCCACATATGATCATGTACATTTTACATAAAACTCTTCATAACATGTGACCTGTACTTGTAAGTAATTTTTTTAGTATTTCTTTAAGGCATGTAGTCCCTTAAATGAGTCTATCGGAACCTTTTCCAATCAATCTGAGGGCTCCAACTACAACTGGAATTATGGATGTCCTCATGTGCCACATTTTTGAGATTTCCATTTCAAGATCCTTGTATTTTGATAGTTTTTTGAAGATCTTCAAAGATACATTACAATCTGGAGTCATCAAATTGTTTTAAATTAAGATTACTTTTTCTTAATTTGGGTTTACCCATTTTTTTCCCAGAAATTCCTTGGGATCAAGTTAACATCGCTCCACGTGTCAACCTGCATAGGAAAAGTTATGACATTCAAATTTCTCTCTCTCTCTCTCTCTCTCTCTCTCTCTCTCTCTCTCTCTCTGTGTGTTCTTATCGGCATGGGCTACCAGTAATCCATTCAATGAATCTATTCGAACCTAATCGCCTTCCTTGAGGTGAATAGATAATATAATAACCACGTTACCATCGTCCAGTTTACACTCTTTTTGAATTAGTAGAGGTTTGTTTCATATTTAGTATTTGGTTTCTGGCTCCTTGTAGAATTTTCTCATTCACTTTCACTCCACGTAACCCATTGAGACTTAGTGGAATAATCGCCTTGTTTGGGGTGAATAGATAATATAATAACCACATTACCATCGTCCAGTTTACACTCTTTTTGAATTAGAAGTAGAGGTTTATCACTTGTTTCATATTTAGAATTAGGTTTCTGGCTCCTTGTAGAATTTTCTCATTCGCTTTCACTCCAAATAACCCCATCCGTCTTAGTGGAATTATCGCCTTCCTTGCGGTGAATAGATAATATAATAACCACACTAGTGTCGTCCAGTTTAGACTCTTTTTGAATTAGATGTCGAGGTTTATCCCTTGTTTCATATTTAGAATTGGGTTTCTGGCTCCTTGTAGAATTTTCTCATTCACTTTCTGTTGGGGCGCACCCACTTTCTCAAGAGAATGGACTGATCTCTCTACGATATAGGTCAGTGCTAGAGAGATCAGAGGAGATCTGGAGATCACGAAACCATAGAGATCACGAGATCATTGCACTTCCGTCTCTTGACCGGAAGTTACCGTTGGACTGTAGACTCTTGCTAATTGTTATTACTAACCTGCGTTCATTATTACTAATCACTCTATTGTTAAATACCTCTTCAAATATACCAGTATCCCTACATCTTCCCTACATCTGTGTTTGTCCTTATTTGAATACACACACGCGGGAACACTCTCAACATCTCAACACTTTCACTCCAAATAACCCCTCCCGTCTTAGTGGAATTATCGCTTTCCTTGGGGTGAATAGATAATATAATAACCACATTAGTGTCGTCCAGCTTACACTCTTTTTGAATTAGAAGTAGAGGTTTATCACTTGTTTCATATTTAGAATTCGGTTTCTTGCTCCTTGTAGAATTTTCTCATTCACTTTCAATCCACGTAACCCCTTGCGTCTTAGTAGAATTATCGCCTTGCTTGGGGTGAATTGATAATATAATAACTACATTAGTGTCGTCCAGTTTACACACTTTTTGAATTAGAAGTAGAAGTTTATCCCTTGTTTCATATTTAGAATTGGGTTTCTGGGTCCTTTTGGAATTTTCTCATTCACTTTCACTCCAAATAACCCCTTGCTTGGAGTGAATAGATAATATAATGATAACAAACTAAATGTGGATATAATCAGGAAATATATATCCGGACATTTACTTACTATCCTTTATTAATATGTTTTTAGATGTGACGTAACGGAATAATCTTTCTTAAAAATTTATATCAGATTGAGAGAGATTTTCTAACTATGGAACAGTGCACATGGACAAATTTGTATTTGGCTTATGTTTGATACAATTTACTGTTGAATTATTAGCAATGTCTTAAGTAATAAACGGTTGTCATAACCGTCTGATTGGAAAATTATATGCACAACGACTTTACTAATATGAGTTCAGTATGGTAAGGATTTTTTTTCAGATTTCATGCATATAAGTGGGATTTTATAGAGACGATTTTTGGTGCCTTTCCTTATCATACATTTTGCACCAACAATGACAAGATCTGGACACATCTTTTGGATTTCCGATGGAGCTCGAATTCTTTTGGACCTACTAATACTTTCCGATACACCACCACTGTTATGAATTTAATTCATTATTTCTGTAATTTTAGATAACTAATTTTGTACACAAACATTCTGATTGATAAGGGGCTACTTTAAAAATAAATATTCAAAATGATGTCAGTCTGTTTTAACAAGACAAGTGATAAACATGCAGTTGCATAAGTCATCAAGTAAGAAATGTGTAGTGTTGTTTCCACCCAAGATATAGTCTCTATAGCATATGACTGAGGGTAGGCATTGTTTGGAGATGCACTAATTAAGATTCCATGGAACACGGGTTAATCGGAAATGAGTCAAAGAAATGGGAGACGCGGGAAGCAACAAGTAGTTAAGTTATACAAGGGTAACCTTCTTCCAGAGCCCTAAAGATAAACAAATGCTGAGTAAGACAGAATCGCTGAGATAAAACAATTGCTAGAACTGATATGTGAGACAATTTCACGTAGAGTTGGCTCTTGTCGTAGCAAAGAGAGGTCTCTCTCTCTCTCTCTCTCTCTCTCTCTCTCTCTCTCTCTCTCTCATCGCGCCAGGTAGTAAGCGAGAAAAAATTCCGATTGTTTTTGTTTTGACAGAAAAATGGATTGTTGAAGTCGCAGACTCAAAGGCCAGAGTAGCAGAGTCAGTGTTTCTTTTGTAAATGTTAACCATTTTTCATCTACTATATTTTTAGGGAGACGAACTCTAATCACTTTCATGTCTTGTGAATTTGTGTTATTTACAATTATTTTCTTTGCTAAAATTTAAAATACAGCTGCAAATTTCAGTCGTACGGTAACAATATCAAAGTGCGCTTGTGCCTATATGTTATCATATAACAACACATAACCGTAGATGCGTCTAGACACGTCTGAAGAAACAAAAATCGACTCAAAAATTTTTAAAATTAAAATTCAGCGTTCTCACATTCTCAGAAAACCTCCACGGTACATATAACCGACTCCCACGCTTATATTCCCCAACAAATAGAAATTTATAATTCCATCGATTTTCCAGTTACGAGTCCTTTTTTAAAGCTGATCGTTTTGTGTTCATTTTGTTTAGTTCTTTTTTCGTAACAGATTTAATGTTTAGTATAGAGCTTAGAAAAAATTCGCAGTGTGAGATAGCCATAAGTTCTATGTTGATAGTTTATTCTCCGCTATTTCTCGAACTTACGGCTTGCTACTTTCCAAACATCTATGATTTTTTTAAATACAATGTCAATTGTCATTTTATTTCTCGATGAATTTTTTTAGTTGTCCTTTCTTCCTTGCGTCTTACTTGCTTTTACAACCATACCGGGGAAATGTTAATGAAAAATAAATATAAATGTAAATTTCATACATATTTTACTCAGGTGTCAAATTTTCCTTGATGAAATTTGAAGGTACCAATACAAAAGTAAATGGTTGCTAAAGTGACAGTAGTTTAGTACTTTTAAATTTTCAGTTTTAGACTATTTAGCCATAAATGATTAAAATCATTCAGACATTTAGCGTTAACTTTCGCCGATAAATTCGATGTTGTTGTCACATATAGCCTGGTGCTTTTTCTATTTGTTCATATAATACAAATAATAATCTGCAATATTATTCGTTCTGACGTGGCATCTCAACTTCAGTCACTTTTCCCACTGCCACAACATTCAGTCAGGTTTCTTACTGCCATAACAGTTTCCTTGTATCTTGGTGAAATCCAAAGAAGAATCTGCAATGTTATTTGTCCTGACCTGACATATCAGCTTCAGTCACTTTTCCCACAGCATAACATAGATTCCCTGTATCTTGTTGAAATCCAAAAGTAATCTTCAATGTTGTTCGTCCCTACGTGGTATCTCACCTTCAGCCACTTTTCCCACTGCTATAATCTAGTTTCCCGGTACCTTTTGGAATTCTGCAGAATAATCTGCAATGTTATTGGTCATGACGTGGCATCTCAGCTTCAGTCATTTTTCCTACTGCTATAACAGTTTCCTTGTATTTTGATGAAATCCAAAGAAAAATCAGCAATCATTTTCCCCACTACCATAACATAGTTTGCCTGTATCTTATTGAAGCCCAAATAATAATCCTCAATGTTATTAGTCGTGACGTGTCTTCTAAATTTCAGTCACGTTTCCTACTGCCATAAGTTTCCTTGTATCTTGATGAAATCCAAAGAAGAGTCTGCAATATTATAACATAGATTCCCTGTATCTTGATGAAATCCAAAGTATAATATGCAATGTTATTCGTCCAAACCTGGCATATCAGCTTCAGTTCACTGAATTTGTTACTCATCTTCCATCGCAGGGCCTTTTCCCAGACAAGTAATATGGCTTTCTTTTCTCCAGGTCAACTGCTGATGTACTGACGATATTTGCGGAAAGAGTCTATCATTCTCTAAATAGTAAGTGTAAAGTATTGGGTTGTTGCATTGGACATCTCGAAAGCCTTTGACAGGTTCTGGCATTAAAATTTTCTCCACGTGCTGAAAAGTTGTGGTGTCTGTAGACACTTTTTTGAACAGATCCAGTCTTTCCTATCAAATCATGAAATGAGAGTCATCCTAAATGCCCACTCGTCTAGATCCTTTCGTACTAACGCAGGTGTCCCCTCCCAGGGCTCCATCCTTGGTCCTACTCCATTTTTTATTTTCATTAATGACCTTCCTGGTGGCATCAGCTCTCAACTTGATACCTGCGCTGATGACACAATTTACTCCTGTCTCGATAGTAAGGCTTTTCAGTCCGACAAGGTAAAAATGATAGCCGATGTCCGAAACGACCTCAGGTCCGTCGTTAAATTGGGCAAAGAATGGCTTGTTAATTTTAACGCCTTCAAAACTAAACTTCTCTCCATTAATAATCTGAGAGTCACCTCTCTGCCTTTCATCAGCATGGTTAATGCTAACCTCCAGGAAAATGACAGGTTGCGCCTTCTCATGCTCAAATTTTCTACTGAAGTGGAAAACTATATTGAATCAACTACTAAGAAAGTCAGTTCACTATGTCAAGCAAGACAATTTTTCACTCCAGAATCTATCTTATATATCTATGTCTACCATTCGTCCATGCCTAGAATATTGCTGTCACATATGGTCTAGTGCCCCTGCTATTTACTTTGAGCTTCTTGATAAGATCAAGAAGAATCAGCAATATTATTGGTCCTGATCTGGCGGCTCGGCTTCAGTCACTTTACCACCGCCGTAAGGCTGCCTCTCTCTGTCTTTTCTCTAAATACTTCCATGGTAATTGTTTGAATGAGCTCTTCGCTATGGTACCTAGACTTTTTTAATTTAAGTGCAATGCTAAACTGGCGTCAAGATCTCATCAATTTACAGTTTAGTTGGCTAGATGTAACCATAAGTTTTATGCTAACAGCGTCTTTTCTCACTTATGGAACTCACTTCCGGTTCCATGCTTTCCCTGCCAACTTTAATCCTCAAAAATTTTAATGCAATGTCAATTGCTATCTCCTGTCCTTCTGATTACTCTTTCCTCTTCCCACTCATTATTAATGTTTCTGTTCCTAATTCTTCCACACCCTGTAACCCCTTGTGTCTTAGTGGCTTTACTGCCTTTCATGTGGAACACCCTTTCGGTTCCATGCTTTCCAACCAACTTTAATCTGCAATAATTTAAATGCAATGCCAATCACTATCTACTTTCCTCCTGGGTACTCTATTCTCTTTCCGCTCATTTAATATTTTTGTTCTTAATTCTTCCATACCCTGTAACCATTTGTGTCTTAGTGGCTTTACTCCCTTGCTTTGGATGGTATCGATTAATATATATATATATATATATATATATATATATATATATATATATATATATAGGAAAGAACACGTTAGGTAAATAATCCGAAGTTCTTTACTGTATATATTTCGAAAAGACATCACGATTTTCGTTCATAATATATAGTTTTATTTTTTCAAATATGCTTTGTAAATTTACGATAGGTCATCTAAAGATTAATTCTAATGATATTTTACGTTTATCAAAAATATTAACAAAATATATCATCGATATTTTCCTTCTGAAACCTATGTGTTTATGTAATAGCTGTTTTAAATAACTGTAAAAAAATTTTTTTAAATTTAACTATGTAGTGTTTAAAAGATTTTAAAATTGGTTTTGTTAATTGCATATTTTATGAAACCAGGATATATAAAAGTCCATCTCTACTAAAATGAAATATTAAATCTTTAAGCGATTATAGTGGTGAAGGCTTATATAGAACCAGTCAGACCTTTTGGAAAAACCGATAATAGAGAAGTGTACAATGTGACAAGAGGTCTCCAAACAACCTTCAATTTTCCTTCTCCTGGACTGGTTGTCAAACAAGGCAAGGGAGACGAGTCTGCAAAAGACCTGTCATCTCCCCTTACTCACTAACTCTCACTTACTCACTGACTGACACACTCACTCACTCACTGAGTCTCACTTGCTCACTCCCACTCACTCACTCTCACTCACTCACTCATTCTCAGTCTCTCACTCACTCACTCTAAATCATTCAATGGCGATTTCAACCAGAATTTGAACTCGCCTCTCCTATTTCTCTTTCCGAGCCGCTCAGCATTACACTATCCACATGCGTGCGCACACACACACACACACACACACACACAGGCACATATATATACATACGCACAAACATACACACATATACACAAATGCATACATGCATACATATACACACACGCATATATACTCACGAATACACACATACGCACTCACATACACACATAGATACATATGCAAACGCACACACACAAACGCGCGCGCACGCGCACACACACATTGAAAAATGCAGCGAACCCAAAGGCTTCAATATCCCTGTACGCAAGAAAAACGGATCGATTCGTGTCGTTGCTAACTTTAAAAGAACTCTCAACAAGGTCTTAGTCGATCTTGACCATTACCCAATGCCAAGGATCGACCACTTGTTCAACAAAATCAGCAAAGGCAATAGATATTTTACTACCCTTGATCTACGCAGCGGCTACTGGCAAATTGAGATCGACAAGCGAGACCGATACAAAACAGCATTTACATGGAAGGACCAATGCTATCAATACACGCACCTGGCCTTCGGCCTTACATCTGCCGGACAAATCTTCTCCCGTTGCATAGAAGAAGCCCTAGCCACGGTCACATCCCGTGACAACATTTCTTCCTATATCGACGACAACCTGGTCCACGCTAGGACATTTAGGGAGTACATACTCTCCCTCGAACATTTTTTTACTGCCCTCCGAAAATTCGGACTCAAGCTGACTCCAGATAAATGTTCCTTCCTCCCATCAGAGGCAAAATTCCTCGGACGCATAGTAAACAGCGAAGGATTCAAGGCTGATCCAGAATACGTTCGTCCCATCAGGGAAATGAAACCTCCAACATCAAAAAAGGAATTACAAAGCCTTATCGGCCGTTTAGTGTGGATCAGACAATTCCTAGAGACACGTCTTCACGAACAAATCAGGTCAGATATGTTTTCAAAACTTATGAGTCCCATACACGAACTCAACAAGGTTAATAAACCATTTATCCGGACGCAAAATGCCG